AGGTTACAGACTGACATTTGAAAAAAAAATGAAAAACACACACAGCAAGATCTCCAATTGCTGCCATTTACTACAGCTCTTCCATTCATCCAGGTTTCTCTACAGCATTGCACCAGAGACTACATTGGTAAGAGGAAAGAAGAGAAGTCGAACAAAATGCAACCGAGGACCTACAGAAGAACAGAACTTGCCTTCCCTGGGAATCTGCTTGGTGGATGCCCATGGGAGACCATCCTAGAGAGAAGGTAGGCCTGGGAGAGCCAGTCGATGTTCAAGAATCATCTCCTCAAGGCTCAAGAATGGTCCATACCAACGCACAAAAAGTCAAGCAGAGGCAGCAGGAAGCCTGGATGCATGAACAAGGAGCTCTTGACTAAACTTAGATGTAGCAAAGAAGCGTACAAGGGGTGGAAGCAAGAGCAGGGAGCCTAGGGGGATTATCCAAGTACACACAGATGGGGTTACAAAGGCCAAAGCCCAAATGAAGTAGAATCTGGCAAGGGAGGCGAAGGACAACAAGAAAAGCTTTAGCAAAATACCAGCAACAGGAAGACCAAGGAAAAACAGGGCTCCACAGCTGAGTGGGGCAGAGAGGACCTGGTGACAGCGGATAGGGAAGAGGCTGAGGTACTCACTGTCCCCTTTGTTTCTGTCATTATTGGCAAGAGCAGCCCACAGGAATCCCAGGCCTCCGAGAGCAGAAAATTGCCTCAATTGCCAGGCTCAAAGGGCTGTCACCAGTGGCACAAAGCCCAGCTAGAGACCTGGCCTTACTGGTGTACACCAGGGGTCAATACCCAGGCCAGCACAGCTGAACATCTTCATTAACGAAGACAGGTGATGGGACAGAGCTCACCTTCAGCATGTTTGCAGGTAACACAAAACCAGGAGGAGAGGTCAGTACACCCGTTCACAGTTTGCCACTTTACAACTCATCTGCTTGACCTCACCTTTCACCTGTCAGTCACTGTTTCTCAGCCAAGTGGTTTAGGCATGGTGTCTCATCTGACAAGGCTGTGTTTGCAGAGCCTATGCTCTGTAAAGCAGGTATTCAGAATAATTTATGTAATGTGATCAAACTTACTGTGACTTCTACATGTGTAAAATGAAAACTGGACAAATATACTGCTATCTAATGTGTTTTTCCAACAAATCCTGTAAAGAGGAAAAATTTTCTGCTGTACAAAGTATTCACAAAAGCGTACAACTTCAAAAAACCCTGTTTATTTTACTATCCAATTTATTAAACACTAAACAAGACAACCTTGTAGTTTATACATTAGGAATGTAAGTTTTCGTGTACAATTAAGAGAACATTTCACTGTAAAAAAGGTGAAATACTGCGTGACTATAACAGAACACTGTCACACAACGAACTAAAGAATATGAGAAAGTGTGGCACATTCATTTAAACTCAGGTTCTCAGGTGAGGACAGACATTGATAGACTGACGCAGGTATTCCACAGACTTTGGTGAATATTCAGAAATGTACACATCTAGTCTTAAAAGTAGAATTATACAAATACAATATATTACACACTTACATACTGCACTGTGAGCCTCAAACACTGACAAAAGGTATCAGACATAATAAAGTTAGAAATTTCTAGTATCCTCATAGAAATCAGAAGATACCTCCTTAAAGAGAAGTGTAGCTAAAATAGCTATATATTTCTGTACCTGTCAAATCTGTCAGGTATTCAAGGCAATTCAACTCCCTTCAGAAAAGTCATTGCAGCTCTACAGCAAATGGTTAGAGGCCATATGCTTTTTACACAAATATTATAGATTCTCACAACAAAAACAACTCTTCTCCGCTTCAACTGACTTTTGAAAATGTTGCTGTTTAAAGCCATCATTGGAAACAGTGCCCTTTGATTTAAAACAGTAAGGTCAGTTATAAATGTCAGCATTAAAACAGCTTCTCATTATAAATTGCAATGATTCACTCCTACATAACATTTTTCCTGCAGAATGTAGCAGTCATGTATGATGTTTGGCATGTATTCATCAGAACTGTCCACTCCCAGGCAGACTACGATATAGGATGTCTTAATAGGTTTTCCTTACACTGTTAGGAGACCTCTGTTTCTTTAATACACATGTTTCATTCATCAGTCTAAAGTGATCAGATAATGCTCAACACCCAAGAGCTTGACAATTTTAGAAATATTGTGAAAGAGTATGTCTGCTTCCTGTCCTAGTTCCCCTCTTCGCCCAATACTGCATCATGGACGTTTGGACAACAAATAAGTCTGCCCTCTCTCTCCCCCATCCTGCTTTTTATTTCTTTTTCATTTTTAAGAAAAGACAGAAGCACAACCGAAAGTTTGATTACTCATATTGGGAAAGAAATTCTTTAGACTCGATCAGTATCAAGGTGTGATGTCAGTTCACAAAAACATGCTCACTGTGTAAGTTGCTCCAGAGACCAATACATACATATTTATATGAAGCCACATATCTATAGAAACAGCAGCCTTCAGTATCAAGAACCTTTCCTTTTATCATTTTCTCAAAGAAGTATGAAGCTTTACATGATTTCAGTTGTACCAATATGAGCCTATGTCGTGGGTTCAAGCCAGACCACAGTTATAATAATTAGCTAGATAAAAGAATAAACTAACTTAACACTGTTTGACTTGTAGCCAACAGTATTGTAAACATTATGTTACACATCCGTATTTTATGGCATTTTAGATCCTTCGAAATTCTAAGTATTTATAGCTAAAGTGAATAAATCTTCCCAGCATAACAAACATCTTTTACACCAACACCCAGCTTGAAAAAGTGTCTACTGTGGAGATAACTGAAACAAACCAAACCCAATAGAATTACTTAAAAAATTCTAGTTCCTTAACACCAACTCACAATTCGGACCATCACAGCAAACAGTTGTCAACTGCAATTTTATTTATCTATTCTAGACTATGTTTCAATTTAAATTACTGTGAAGTGTTTCTGAAGTATTCTTAAATGCTACACTGCAAAAGCAGATGAGGAGGCAGCTGTAAGTTCTGCAGGTAACTACTTTGTAATGTCTAGAACAAATGTCAAGGAAACAACAGCTCTACATTCAGTATGTGTAGAGCTAGCCAATGTCTGCTATCAGCTGCCTAAAACCCTTCTATTGCCTGTGGTTATGCATGCTCCAGCAGCCATGTGTATTAGTTAATCTGAAATAAATGTGCTGTCTAATGTGTACTGCAGAAAAACCTGTAAAAAAAAAGAGGCAAAATTTTCTGCTGTACAAAGTATTTACAAAAACATACAACTTCAAAGAACCAGTTTGTTTCACTGATTGAAGTATTAAACATGAAATCTTGTAGTTTATACATTAGGAATGTAAGTTTTCATGTACAATTAAGAAAACACGCCACTGTAAAAAGGTGAAATACTGCCTTATTCAAATAGAACAGTGTCACACAACAAACTGAAGAATCTGAGAAAGTGTGGCACGTTCATTTAAACTCAGGCTCTCGGATGAAGACAAACATGTATAGACTGACACAGCTATTTCACACACTGGTGAATATTAGGAAGTATACACATGTAGTCTGCGGTCTCAGGATTATACAACTTACTTGTCTCTATTGACTATGTCTCCTCGTCTCTTTTCATTAATTAACCAGTTTATTAATTGCTATAAACCTGAATAATATTAGCTGCCTAAAAGTTATATGTGCTTCAGTTTAAGTCAAAAAGAGCTATCTAAACTTATCTCCAGGCAAATAGGAAAGTCTACCAGAATTTTAGTGTTTGCTCTGTTACCAGGTTCTTGACAATAAGGGATCACTAGCTGCAGAAATCTGGACAGCTGGGAATGACTATGCCTTAGATCTTCATCCCATTTCTCCACCCATGGTAATATATTGTCTGTTTATCAGCTAATCACTGCTACTGGAGTGGTTTTGTCAGCTACTACTCCAAATTTCCGCATAATCAGTTTTAATGTCCATTTGTAATTAAAATCTTAACGTTATAAAAGTTGGTATCAAACAAGGTCAAACTAACCGAACATTAAAGGTTAGGTGTTTTAGAATTTCAAACTAGAAAAATAATAGATGTAAAAGACTAGCAATTACAGTGCTAGTTATATTTACATTATAATTTCCCTTTGTGCTTGCAAGTTACTGAAAGTACACATCCTTTGGTAGTATTCTCTTAGTCTCAAGTAAGAAGTTCATGTTAAACACATTCACACTCCTGATTTGCTTGATTCAGTGCAAAGGGCTCATACCTTATTTCCTACATAACATTGTTACATAAGCACATCTCTTCCCATAAATAATAAAAATACTGATGACAGCAACTTTTCCATTAGTAACTTTGTGCCTGATATTTAAGAATTTGAAAGAAAGATGGAGTCTGTCACACAATTTGTAAGTCTAAAGACTGACTATTATAGCAGCTGATAAGAACTCCCATCCACAAGTACTGCTGCTGTATGACTTTTGGCCCAGTTTTAAAGACATATAAAAAAAACCAAAATGCACCTATAATTCAGACTCACATAGGCATAAAGAAGTATGAACGTTGCAATGCGTACTAACTACCGTTACAAAAACCGCCATAACATTAAACACTAAACTGATGCTTCTAGTTCTAACCTTAGATGTAAGCACAGCTTTCTCATGGCTAATATAAGAGAATGTTTATGTCCTTACAATGGTGTTACAAAGTTTGATGCCCATACTGCAAGACTCCTCTTAAATAAAAAAAAAAAGCACTTGCAGTTTTTCCTATGCCAAGTGGTAGTGAAAAGCAGAATCTGGGAAAGAGGCTCTATTTGTTCCCATACCGTGCATTTGTCAACAGCCACACGTCTTGGTCAGTGGCTAAACAACCATCAATTCTTGTTAAACTGGTGAAGCCGTAAACTCCACATGAAGCTGTAAGCAATCAGGAGTATAAATACGGCAAGTCAAACGGGAACTTTTCAAGCTATTAGAAGTTGACAAAAAATAATTACAACAGTTGTATATTCACTATTACTGTCAAATGTGAGCCAAAGAATTGATGGGCTTGAGGTTTAAGAAAGTAATGTATAGCATATTAAGGAGCTTAATGTACCAATGTACCAATATCAGCATAAACTCTTAATATTTTAGTTTTCATACTTGCCAATTTAATGATGTCAATCTGTTGACAAAGTTATGCTAATACTAGGAGGTCGCTGCTGATTAGGTTGTTTGCTTAAAATTGAAAGATCTGTTCTTTCTGTTCCATATATCAGTTTTTCCTCCTGAAGACTGCAAGCTGAAAACCTGTTTGCCTCTGTACCAGATACACCCCCACGATTATTTGGAACTGTGACACCACTGACCTGTTCAAAGGATTTACTAAACACAGTAGTGGTCGTTCTCGCCAGGCTATGGCTGCCAGGTTTAGGCAGGGACTGGCTAGTTGTCAGTGTCAGTCTCTTCAGAGAGACAAGCTCTAGATTCTCACTCATGGCTCTCTGAGTTTGTTTTCGCGACAAGTGTTCTCTGCAGGTTTCTCCTTCTTTTTCTTTTCCTCCAGCTTTGCTTCCTCCAGACCTTCGTTGGCTCTTCCCTAAAAGGTTCTTACTGCTTGTGCTGCTGCTGTTAGATAGGGCAGACTGACTTGTACTAGAAGTAGCCCTAGAGTAAAACCCTTCATCAGTTTCAGATACTTCTATCAGTTCTTCTTGTATTGCTAAATCAGTATTACCTGCATGGTAGAAAAAGAAGTAAAGAATTAGCAATTGACTTTCTCATGTTCATGATTTTATGTATTGCTAGATTTTTATATTTACAAGTATGAAGCCATAAAGCAACAGAACAGAGAAGAGAAGACAAAACACTTACCTATTCCATTACATTTTGGAATTAAGGTTCATTAGGATATAAAGTTACACCAAATAATGCTGCATTATCTAGATCAAAAAGCATGCCCACAGTCTCATTTTGTAGTGATTTTGAAAAAAAAAAAACAAAACCAAAAATGCAGACTTGTTAATTCATGCAGGAGATTAGAAACTTACAGATTAGAAGATACCACACAGAACAAAAAAAAGTGTCAATCTTATTTTGAGCAAGTGCTCCAATACATGATTTTGCAAAGCTCGTTAATTGTAGGGGTATGTGATCAATGCCCCAGGACACCCAATATGGCACCTGCACATTTAGCAACCCAAGAATTCTTTAGGACTGAAAGGTCATCTTCTGCATCATAGGTCTGGTGGTGTGAGTTGGAAACTCAAGCACAACATGAGATCTCCAGTATACCATGAAAGGTGGAATCTGGGAAATCTGAGGTACACAGCGAGATACTTTTCAGATCCATTTTGATGGATTCTTCATGCCATTTATCACTGGATTTTGTAAACCCAATAAAAATGCTTAATAAACTCAAAGGTATGTTGAGTGTCACAGCATATTTTCTCCAGATTAAATAAATCCACTTGTAAGTATGTTGCCATTGTCTGTGGCACAGACAAAGCTGTGTGCAGTACATGCATTTGTGTTATTACACATGCAAATATATTAACTGCATACTCTAATTCTCCAAACATGCAGCAGTGACCCTTTCAATCAACAGTGGTACCTTAGAGTGCAGCTACAAGTGCTCTGCTAAAACTGCACTCTGCCAGATGAGTTTATTCCATCCTCCATCATTTTTCTTACAGATTTTTGTCTCCTGATTTCTGGCATGCCTTTGCTGTCAGTTCTAGGATCTGCAGCTGTTTCCTGTACTCCCTGTAAATGCTGAACATCATTCTCTGCTAGTGCTCTGCTCTTTTCCCCATTCCCGGTCCTCTCTCCAGCCACACTTGTGACACTAATCTCAGGTATGATAAAGTTGCCCAATTCAGTAGCATCATTAACATTCTCTGGTTGCTCTAGAATTAAAGATGGATAAGAAAAAAAAAAAAAGATGTCTGAAACAAAACATGAAAAAAAAGCCAACAGATACAGATGACTAAAGCATTATGAATTAAAGCAGATGTTCACATATTAATCTCGTTAATTAGCAACATTGGCGAGTATGGAATTTTGCTTTATTTTTAAATTGCAGGCTTCAATCTTCCAACTATTGGCCTGCATACACATACTAAAGCTCCATGCTTGATCCCTCAAAATTGAAGTCTCTGAGGATCATTAAACAAACATTCAGAGATTATCAGATATCAAATAACTCTCCATAATTCACTTTTATGACTATATTCTCTGTACCACCATGCTAAAGTGAAACTTATTTTTACAATAAAATGGTGTATCAGCCTCATGTGTTATCAAGTAATACTATAAATTCTATACATACAATGTCATGATGCTGTACAGTGTTCAGCCTGAAAACTAACAGTGAAACAACCAAGCCAACTCAAGCACACTTTGACTTCCATTTTCTTTCTTCATTTCAAAAAACTGTTTTCAACCAGAAAGATATTTACAAGTAGGAAAATTCTCCAGTTACTAAAATTAACTTATTCAGATAAAATCTATAGAGTTTTACTGCAGTTATTGCCACCTACTAATAATATAGCATATATGTTGATCTCCTCAGCCTTTGTAAGTTTCTTATATGAGCTTAAAACTAATTAGTTTGCAATAAACTTATGTGTGTCACCAGAAGCCAGTTACTAAGTACAGTTGAGAAAACAGGGACTAAGCTAGGGGGAGGGAAAGCACCACAACTTTCTGTAGCACTGGGAGGAAAAAAAAAGAAATTAAGGCAAAAACTAATGCATCTTGGTTCTAAGATTACTTCTTTTTATCAATAGCAGATATACAAGTGCTCAGCCTGGCCAAAAAATTATTTCAAGACAGTCAAAGATTCCTGCAGATACAGCAAAAAATCCCCAAGCAAACAGAAAACTCCACTGCTGCTCAGTGTGAGAAAAATAGCTGTATGTAAGCACAACATATTTAATAATGATATTTAGTGAAGAGAATGCTATAGTTCCTACAAGGTCCTGGTAAAACAAATCCCAACTCGAAAGATGCCTGTCCACATTTGATGAAGACAGGTTTGAAAAGGATGAACTCTCGAGAGGAAAAAAAGTGAAAATAAGAACGGGTGGGAGTTGAAACGTTATGGAAATTACAAGTATATGTGAGTAACAAATTACAATCCTAGCGACCTGTAAGCTCCACAGTGTTTGAAGTACTCTCACTGTCTGAAGGTCTTCAGAACTGCTTTATCAGCGCTAGCTCTACAAACACTAAACTGCATTTAGGTGGCCTGGAGAAGGAAAAAAAGACAACAGTTACAGCCATCAGTCATGGCACATCCTCCACAAAGATGCATACCACGGAAATACAAGTGAAGAACAAGAACTACACTATATGCTGTATTAGTTATATATTCTATATGTTATATATGCATACTATATGCAAACACTATGGCCACAAACTTGACAAGACTAAAAATGCACCAAAAGCACAGCTCAGAATAAAGCTCAACCTGTGTTTTAATTCATAAGGCAGCTCTTTCAGACCTGAGGATTAAGTAAGGACCACCCAGACTATACTGCCAGTTTGCTACTGCACATGACAGAAGTTGGCAGTACAGACATTTAACTGACAGTACGAAGACCAAAAACAGAGGAATTTATGATGAGATGATTTATCACAGCAGCAGCTCTAATGCTTTTTAGCTGGAGGGGATCTTCTCCTCCCCCTGTCCCCACACTGAGGACTCGTGTGGGCACAGTGTGCGTCAAAGTCAAGTGGGCTCCAGCGCTGGGCTTTTCGCTAGCATTTGTGCTGTCTGCACTTATCACAACAACGAAGTAAGTCGCAGAGCTAGAAGGTTATTCTGGCAGGTACAGACGACATTGTCCCCTGGTGTAAGAGCTATCCCTGATTTTACCTGCAAATGCTAAGTATCATGATTGTTTAACTAGTCAACAACTAATGAAAGTATCTATTTCACAAGTTGTACTATCCAAAGGAAATGGCATTAATAATTGCTGCTATTAGCCACTAACTTCCTGATATTTGGCAGGAAACTCAAGTTAGAACTGTTTCCAAGTGTTACTCCTTCTAACAGCACTTTCTGCAAAACTCTTCTATTGTCAGTAAGAAAGGTAACAAGTGAGCACTGTGAAGTGCAATAGTAATAATAACAACAACCACCACCAAATATAGCCTTTTTTCTAAAAACACAGGAGCAGAAAGGTTATTGAGAAGATCAATGCTCCGATAGGTCTCACTGGTCAATTTTACTAGGGTGAGGTACCTGTGCCACTCCTGTGACTATCTTCAAACACCTTCCTGCTACCCCATCAGTGCAGCTACAGGCACCTTATTTCAGCAGAACTTCTTCCCAGGATCCACTGATCTCCATATGCACAAGTTGATTCTGCTAGAAACTTCATTTAGAGCCAGGACACCAGAAAGAAGAGGGCAGAACAGAGCTTACTATCAGTCCCTTCCCCACCAAGGGCAGAAAAGCACTAATTAACAGCATCCAGCTCCAAAGAAAGGAGATTCAGAATGCAGAGCAGAAGTCAGAGGAACAGGGGAAGAATTTTGTTGTTACAGATTTTGTATAGTAGCAATACTTAGTTATTGTTGTTTGGTGGTGTGCATTTCTAAATGTAATATCCTACTGTGATATCAACACTTTACCCATCATTGCTGCATTCCCACAGCTGTGTAACCGTTACCACAATGAACTGGGGAATTAAAAAAACCCCAAACAACCCAAGAGTTTTATTCAGCTCAATTATGTCTAATCTTTTAGTTAAGTGCTAGTAACTATTTCTGATGAAAGGGAAAATACCTTTCTCTGAGTTTAACATTCAGCTACAAGAGGAAATTAATGTAAAAATGGGATACCGGGTATCTCAACTCCAATTAACACTGTCTACCATAGCATCTACAGTCTTGTGTCAGAGGTAAGACTACACAATCTATGTCCTTCATAGCAGCATCCCCTCCTTATTTTAAAACTTTTAAGAACACCTAAAACAAACCTTCAGCTTTGTAGTGCTTGGTTTTGAAGATAATACTGCTTCAAGGTGGACAACTCTGGGGGTCTATCCTTTGAGAAAGAGATATTAATACCCAGTACACAAAGCAATGTAGCAAAAGAGAAAACAAGGGACACTGCTAAATAGTATAGAGACATAACTGAATAATTATGTCAGTTTGAAAGTTAATAAAAATATGCCCATAGCAGTTGAAGGAAAATGCATTTGGAGTCACATTTCTGAATGCTTTGAGTAGTACAGCCAACCTTGATAAATGCATTTCATCATTACTAGCTGCTAAGAATTAAAAAGATACTTCAATTATAGCCTACCTTATTATGATTGTCTACATCATTTACCTCAGATTGCACAGGCAAATTGCCCATTTGAATTGTAATTCAATTTTAACCACCACAAGCTCAAGCTGCATTTCCTGCACAACAATGTTAGCATTTTGAATTATTTACAAAACCATCAAGCTCATATCCCAAAATTAACATTAATTCCAGATTCCTCAAAAAGTTATAAACTATTTCAGGAATTGTGCTGTTTCAAAAAAAGTAAGAAAATTCTCTCCACAGAGATTCAAAGACTAATGTTTCTAAACATTGTGTGCTACATGGAAGTCAATTTCTGAAATGGGGGAAAAAAATAACATCTTGTCCTTCTTTGGTTCATGTCTTTGTTTTTGTGTTATGTATCTTACCAACATCTGTTTAGCTTTTCTTAGTCTGTTACAGAGTCTGTCTTACATGCATTAACTCTACACACAGAAGTTTTTCCTGAACAACCCTTTCATGGGGCAGTTTGGCAGATTTTACATTAGTAAGGAAAGCATTGCTGAGGCTTGCTTTGTTTTTTTTCCTAGCTTTCATAAATAACCATTCATTTAGGTGTTTATGTCCCTTACACACTATGATTTTTCTGGTTTTCCTCTGTGTGTGAATGCAAGTGGAGATGCCACTGAACGCTTGTGTTTAAAACACGAACACTACAAAAAAAACTAATGCTAGATAGAGGAGCTAACACCCCTCTTTTTGAGCTTTATGATTTATAGGCAATCTAATTCAATAGCACTAAACTTGTTGATAAGTGGTAGCTAGTATCAACTGACTCTATAAATACCACCCATTTGAGATTAGATGTATCCATTCTGCAAACGACCTTCACTTTTAGTACCTCTAAAGTACCTACCTTAGAAGTCCAAATTCACAGTAACTATTTGATTTTTAAAAAGTCCTTTTAGGTAACAGCTCTAATGAACAAGTTACAGGGTTGAGTATAACATCAAGACTAAATGTTAAGTCGACCTTTTTTCAAAAATGAAGTCAATCTAGAGTTCTAGCAAAGGCTGGCATGATCTAATGTCTGAAAACTTTGATAGTAAACTGAATGTTTTTAAAAGATTAAAAAATAAAACCCATGCTTCTCAGCTGGAAGTGTGATTGGCTGTAATTATGTTGTTTTATTTATTTTACACAAATAGCTAGTGATTGAAAATTGCTGCCCTTGCTTCCCCAAGCGATACTTTGCTTCATCAGGTCTTCTGGTCCATGTAATGTATAAGATCAAACTACCTCTCAGCTGTCTCCTCTAGTTTCCTAATCCATTTGTACAACTCATTTTTATTGAGTTAATCTGAACAGATTTTCTTCCGCTTACATCGTGGAAGAGAAAATAATGGTCAGGAAGTACAAGGTTTGTCATCTGATTTCTACCAATTCCAGTATTTATTTTAATTCAAACAAGCATCTGTAAGCACAAGCCTCATTATTCTTTCTGCATGCTGACCCTGAAGATCTATTCCATATCTTTCTTTCGTCAGGAATTGTAGGGCACTGAATTATGTTATTAGGAATTTTGAAATCAGGAGACTACGCACTCTGACTTTAAAAAGGCTTATCAAGTCACAAACAATTTTGTTAGTATTTTATAATGAAAATTTTGAGGACATTAGCTGAAGTGGTATATGCATGGAACATCTACCTTTTAAAACTAACTGACAATCGGACAGTCAGTCAAAGATACCATAGACACCATTTTGGCCTTTAAACTAGCCTAATGTTTACATAGCCTTCAAATTTACCACTACTCCCACAACCTGCTAGACAAGTTCCCCTCCACCCCTGCCCTACACCAAGTGATTTTCTTCCTCTTTGTTAAATCCTGTACCATCGAGACAAATCGAAAGTTTTCCCAATAACCCAAACAAAATGTTGACAAGTGCTTTTCTGTAAGAGTCCTTAATCATCTTTCAATGCTCATCCTTAAACACAGACTACTCCTCACTTGGGTCATACTAACTAGATTATCACTGTTTCTCTCAACTTGTCCTGCTTTATGAGACTTCCATAAAACGCATCATTCCTCCCATTTCTGTGAGTCCTACTATTATTCTGATTTTCCTTTCACCTTACTGTTATCTGCTGCAAGGCACACTTGTCCCACCCGTTCTTCCTTGAACTTCATCAAGCACCACCCCATGCAAGGCAGCAATAATTGTAAAAACTTCTAGGTTTCTGTATTTGCTGAAAAAATTGCAGTCTTATAAGGATGGTTCCAATACTGATTCTGTAACATTTTTATTTCATTTTTTCTGTAAACACAAACACAAAGAAGGGAATGTTTATTTTAATACACTTTCAACTCCTCTGAATTAACTAGCACTCAGTATCCCCAGTCTGTGTTTCCCTCCACCACCTCATTTGAACAAGTATCAGAACCACTCAAAAATAACAGTTGACAAAATTGCCAAGCTTGAGAGGGCATTTATCCATTTAAAAGCTAAGCTATCATACAGTTTTCTTGCACCTGGTCAGTAATCCCTGCTTAGCCACTGTAAGCCTGAAGAAAGGAAAACAAATAATTAAGTCCTTAATAGTCCTGAGATTGCAGTAATGACTTGCTACTGCACTTCACTCCAGTTAAAGACACTAATGTTTTGCTCCTCGGCTTTGTCTGACAGTTTTAAGCAGTTTTTAATCAATTGAAAAGAAATTGCCCCTCATCCCCTCTGGCAGCTAACTATTGGTACTACTATCACCACTGTGTATCATTTCTGCTCAGAAAGCTCTATCATTATTTTAAAGTCAACTTCTACCAGCATATTTATAAATAATTTTCTCAACACTTACCTGAAGTACCTCTCAGTCCTTTACAAGTAACTTGGCAGTATTTTTCTAACTGAACTGTCCGTATACTACAAAAGCCAATACAGTACACACCATATGGAAATTTTTATGATACTACTTTGAAATCTTTAATGAACCCATTAAAAGAGCATTCTTATCTACACTCACTCGCTTAGCCTGTCATCAGAATTACAAGCCCAGCAGAACAAGCCATTGCCAATTTTGATCACTGGTCCAGAGGCTCTTCCCTCATCTGAGGATGGCAGAAGAAGTGGAATATAAGGTTTCTCCTTTTGCAGTACATTCAGCACCATTTTTTTCCTACTTCTCAGCCCAGACCTGTGTTCTACTTTGTGAAAGTCTTTATATTATACTGCCCAAATGTGCTGGTTTTGACTGGGATAGAGTTAATTTTCTTCATAGTAACTAGTATGGGACTATGTTTTGGATTTGTGCTGAAAACAGTGTTGATAACACAGGGATATTTTAGCTATTGCTGAGCAGTGCTGACACAGAGCAGCTGCTTCTTGCACCACCCCACCAGCGAGCAGGCTGGGGCTAGGGAAGAAGCCCGGAGGGGACACAGCTGGGACAGCTGACCCCAACTGACCAAAGGGATATTCCATACCATATGATGTCATGCTCAGCATATAAAGCTGGGGGAAGAAGAAAGGGGAGGGACATTCGGAGTTACAGCATTTTTCTTCCCAAGTAACCGTTACATGTGATGCAGCCCTGCTTCCCTGGAGATGGCTGAACACCTGCCTGCCGATGGGAAGCGGTGAATGAATTCCCTGTGTTGCTTTGCTTGCATGCACGGCTTTTGCTTTACCTATTAAACTGTCTTTATCTCAACCCATGAGTTTTCTCACTTTTACCCTCCTGATTCTCTCCCCCATCCCAGTGGGGGGCGCTGTGTGGTGCTTATTTGCTGGCCGGGGTTAAACTATGACACCAAAAAAACAGTCATTAATCCCTCTACCCTTAAATCCCATTTTTATTTAAGTAATTTAAGACAGGTGAGGTTCTGCAATAAAATCATTAAATATTTGCTTCACTTCAGATACTATCCTCTACTTTTCAGAAGAAAACAGGAACATTGGCCTCTTTAATTAAAAAAAAAAACACAATAACTTTGTACAGCTCCCTTTAACAAAGAGGTTTTGTGTGTGGTTTTGTTTAGGTTTTTTTTAAACATGATTAAGGAAATACAGAAGATACTTCATCTGAACTGTGCTAAGATTCCCATTCAGTAGTTAAGAAAATAAAAACCTCCAAACTGGTATTGGCTTACTAGCAATGAAGATGTGCAGTAACAAAATTCTCAATACTATTCTAAACACTAAAAAAACACTGTAAAAAGCTGAGAATTCATTGTAAAATGTGTTTCTTACCATGCCTTTTCCATCTATGCCCTCGGATAGACATACTAGTCACAGCATTTCTCGATATTCTGGATGAAGTGGGTGTAATTTCAACCTGAATGCATCTTGTACCTTCTTTACTAGATTTCATGGCACCCTGAGGCAGCGAAGCTTTTATTGCATTAGCAACCTAGAACAGAAAAGATGCAGTTAAGTTCTTAACATGAAGATCCAAATTTTAGAAGAAGAATTCTGTCAGGGGATTCTTATTACTCCAGGAAGCATACTATGTACAACTCCAGTTTAAGGTCAAAAAGCACACTAGCTTTTTGCACAGGTCATAAGAATGCTGGTTGCAATTACCTCTCAGAACTAAGTTACATTTAATACCTGTCCCCTTTTAAAACAAAGTTTCCAGTTTAAAGATGTGGCTATTACTTAACATGAACTTCAAAGTACTTCTTGCACTATCATCTAAGTCTTTCAAGACTTAGAAGTGTTGTACTGAAAATAGCTTGTTCACTAGGGAAGATGACAAAATAACTAAGTACACTGAAAATTCCCATGTGTGTGTGTGTATACTTGCAGATCTAGCTATTCACATGAGCATAGCCACATAGATTTCATGGGATTTAGGTTCCTGGCATGATGTCGCATCATGCACATTCACAGGAAGGATTTCTTAAACTAAAAATTCTACTCAAAAAAATGTGGAAATACAACACCTACCAGCAGAGGTTCTGGATATAGTTCCAGCTGTGCTCTATATAAAATGTCATCCATAGCTTTACGAGCCAGATCCCATTCTCCGTTATAACTACAACGGTAAATATATACATAATAATAAGCATCTATATCAACAGATGAACCTTATTGGTCACATAACCTTTACAGGTTTATTATTCCTTGAGAGATTAATTTAAAGGAGTTGAACTACTTTTGTTCATTAGCAGTAAGCCTGCTATTTAGAGAACTTGTTCTGAAGTAGCATCTATGGAGACAAAGTTGTTTGGGTTTTTTTCATTGGCCACCCTGAGCAGTTTAAAACCAACATAATTAGTTATTGATCAGCTAGTCATGAAACATTCTGAAATTCAAACAGGATTGTTTAATATTACTCCACCTTTTGAGTATTCCTTAGTCTCTAATTATTTCAGTTAATAAGAGAGCTTCACACGTTAATATGACTGTTAAAGGGTAAATGACATCAGTATTTCAGGGAAAGAATAATAAGACCTTTTTTCTTTAACTAGACTGATATCAAAACTAAGCATGCAAAAATGCGGACAGCAGACAGCAGCTGGAAACGTTTTTTAGAAAGATTTTTTTCACATCATCAGTTACACCTATTAAGCGCTGTTATAGCCTTCTTTCCCCAGTATGACATAGATAACTTCAGCTAACTAGTTGGAGAACTATGTTCTCTTCCCGAGTACCTTAATGCTAGACGCTGCATCTGTCCACTAGAAAATAAAATAGCATGCCTAGAATAGTATAGGAATTAATCTGACATTTCTTTATTTTGTATGCATATTAAAAAAAAAACAAAACAACTTACAATGCATAATAAATCCCTGTTAGCATTTGCACCATGAATTCAGATGAAACTGGAATCCTACTGTTGACTCCCTTGTACTTTCTCACTTGTTGGCGAGGATATCCGCAGACACAAATTCTAAAGAAATCATGCATTTGTCATTAGCAAATACTGTAGAATCACTATGGTAAAGAACTCTCAAAGCTAGATAGTATACATTTTAACTACAGTAGACCCACAGGAAGGTATCCATCAACAACCCTGTCCTGAAGCAGATTATTTTGTATTATGGAAGAAGGGTATGCCCTCTACTGGCAGAGTTCAAATCCTTCAAAACAGAGATATCCTAGACACTCATATTACATTTATACTACAGTGGAACATGCAAGAAAACTACCAGTAAAGGTCACTCTGAATCCATGCATTTGCTGCAGAACAGACAAAAAAATAAGTTAATGGTATTTAAGGAAAATAAAGCAGCATAGCAACTATTAATATTAGACACAGAAGCATATAATATGGAAGTTGCATACAAGTTTTCACGCAAAGAGACCAGAAGTGTCACATTCATAAACTATGCTAAAATTCAGTAAAAGTCAGCTTTAGAATTTAGTTCTGAACCAAATTCCACATCAGGTTCTGCAGTCAAAACATTTTGGAAATCAAAGATACTGGGTAGTTAAATATTCAATTAATTAGCTATTACTGGACTTCTGGAATGACCTTTAATGACATTAATCGAAGTATTTCCTTCTTCAGAGTATAGACTAGAAGGTTTAGCCTCAGAAAGCTTCAATTCTTCAGCTTTAATATGAGAAAGCTTGTAAAATTCCTTTTAGATCTATTTTTTTCTCCAGAGAAAAAAATAATTGAGTTACGATTGTGTTGTAATACCTTTCAAATTACATCTGTAATAGATATTTCAGGAGCCTTTTTTTATTAATACTAACTTTGCCACTAACCTACGACACTTTTTTCCTCTCCTCTATCCCACAACTCATCTTCTGCTTTGGCTACTTCAGGAAAAAAAAAAAAAAAAAAAACCACACCACACACCCCAACAAAAAAGTAGACAGGGCCCTCAAGACCTCTATGGTTCAGCAACTCTCCCAATATGTACTTTGCACCTGGTATGATCTAAATTGAATCTTCATGCTGATATCACCGTATCTCCAAACAACGACGACAACAACAACAAATTTTAAATCAGGAAAGACAGTAAGCCACAGTAGTGACAACATGCAAGGAAACGAAAACATTATGAGATGTTTATAAAGGAAGAATCATAGAATGGTTTGGGTCAGAAGGGACCTTTAAAGATCATCTATTTCCACACCCTCTACCACGGGCAGGGACATCTTCCACTACATCAGGTTGTTCAAAGCCCTGTCCAACCTGACCTTGAACACTTCCAACGACGGGGCATCCACAACTTCTCTAGGCAACCTGTTCCAGTGCCTCACCACTCTCATCGTAAAAAAAATTCTTCCTCACGTCCAATCTAAAATAGACGCTCTTTCAGTTTAAACCTGTTGCCCCTTACCCTGTCACTACAGGTCTTGGTAAAAAGCTTCTCTCATCTTTCTTGTAAGCCTCTGTTATATATATTGAAGGGCTGCAATAAGGTCTTCCTGGAGTGTTTTCTTCTCCAGGCTGAACAACCCCAACTCTCTCAGCCTTTCTTCATCGGAGAGGTGTTCCAGCCCCCTGATTATTTTTGTGGCCCTCCACTAGACCTGGAGGTCTACGAAACAGGTCTATGTCTGTCTTTTACTGAGGACCCCAGAACTGGATCCAGTACTCCAGGTGGAGTCTCACAAGAGCCAAGTAGAGGAGGAGAATCACCTCCTTCAATCCCTGGCCACGCTTCTTTTTATGTGGTCTAGGATATGATTGGCTTTCTGGCCTGCAAGAGCATGTCGCACTGTATCCCCAAGCCCTTCCCCACAGGGCTGCTCTCAACCCATTCACCCTTCAGTCTGTACTGATATCGGGGTTTGCCCCAATGCAGGTGCCTACCCTCTACGTACTCATCCGGTATTGAATGTAATTCCACAAACTGTAGGCTTTTGCTGCCACTTTATAGAGTTGGTTAACTGCTACTCTCTAGCAGTTAAAAACTGCCAATTATTTAGTTATAATTCTCACTGAAATTTACAACCCGAAATACAGACCTCTCAAACTGGCCTAAACCAAGATTTAAGTGACTGAATTCAACAATTCAAAATTGTATTTCTAAGAAAAAGAATTTATTTTGCTTAGTTTTGAATTTTGCTTTTCAAGAGTAGCCAAACATACTAATTTGTAAATAACTCCAAGTTTTCCCCTAAATTTCACATTGTTGTTGGCCAGAAGCACAGACTATTTAAGCACTTCTTGCTTATTGATTTAGATTTTAAACTCCAATTTTATTATTGTTCGGAGTACATTACTTCAAATTGCACTGTGATTCGTACCTCACTATTCAAATGGCTTAAAACTCTAAATTTTTAGAAACCAGAATGCAAATAAATTTGTATCTTAAAATATATATAGAGTTCACCTGCAAAGCATATGCACAGATAGCTAAATCAAAAATCTTACTTCCAGTTAAGTGAATCAAATTGACTCTTCTGTTAGATATGCTTAAGATGTTGGAACCAAATTAGTTCATCCTTTCTTATTTTATTTTGTCCATGTATGGTAGAAATTAAAGCATGGAAGCTGTTTTTCAGACTCTTACCTACTCCTAAACCACATGAGCCAGTTACTGAAACTAACTAGGTTGAATAATTCACCCACAAAAAACCCATCCCATTTTCCTCCTCTTTATCCCCCAGAACAGGCTATTACTATGTAACTTGGGCAACACTTCAGTTCCAGACAGTCCATAATTTCTGCCAATGGTTTGGCTCAAAGATGACACTTATAATCCACTAAAATTATAAGCATTTCAGTGTTGTGTAAAGCCTGAGGGGTGGAGGCAGCAGCAAGTAAGTGTCCAGTTTAAACAAAAATGCTAGTTTACATAAAAACCATCTAATCTGGTCATCATTATGCCGATGTATTTATTTATGCATTTACTAGATGCTACTGTATAGGGACACAGTCAAGTATTTTGGGAGGAAACAGTGAACTCGCAGTAGGAACGTGATCAGTTATATAGAAAAGACCTTAATACAGACACTCTATTAATACCAGTATTGATGAGTTTTAACAAGCCCTACTCTAGTCTGAGCTACTTCCTCTAAAAAGCCTAGAATGACATCAGCAGAACTGCTTCGCTTTACATCGGAGTAAGATGATACTCTTATGGAAAGAGATTTAGTAACTGAAGATGCCCAAATGCAAAAATCTGGATTTACAACACTTAAGATCAGCACAAAATATTTTGTGCCGCAATTGTCACATTTACAGTTCATGTTTGCAAATAAGTAGTACTAGAAGCTTTTGCTCCCTTAGAAAAGTCACAAAAATTGAATTAGACTTACTAGAAGAAAGCACATTCATTGTAGATTGCTTTCATACAGAACTTGCAAAAGAAACTTTAAATTCAACACTGCTCAGAACAGTTGAAAAGAGTTATCCTATAGATTCTTCTGAGAATTTTGTTAGCACCACATCCAAACACGATACTGAAAGATATTCTGGTCTTCTGACACATTGCCTTGAATCCCTAAAATGCTGTCAGGGTGATATTTTCAGTAAGAAGAGTAACATGGATGCCAAAACCAGTAGGGAATGAAGAACTAAGATAAAAATAAAATTTTATAGTATCAAATAATTCAGTGTCCTAACATTCAACATTTTTAAGTAGAAAGACTTGCTTGCATCTGCTTGTAATTTGCTTGGGGTTTTTTTGGAGGCTTTTAGAAAATTATTTATCCCAAATACAATCAAAACCTAATCAAGCAGAATAAGCAACATCAGTCTCCTGTCCACAATCTGTAGCTTCTAAGTATTTTCTACCTTAAATTTTAGACCAGCATATTTAACAAAGATCTTGTCAAGATCTTGTAAACATTGCCAAGTGCTCCCATGCTCTCTCACCTCCTGTGAAGAGGAAAGTATCTTACAGGCATTCATTACCATGTTTTGTTTGTGTGAGGAACCTGGGAACTGTAACTGGTAAAAAGTTGCTGTAGTTAACTTCTAGGTCTCTCTTGGATTTCCTGGGTGTTGTGGTTTAGCCTCAGCCAGCAACTAAGTACCACGCAGCTGCTCGCTCACACCCCCATGGTGGGATAAGGGAGAGAATCAGAAGGGTAAAAGTGAGAAAACTCATGGTCTGAGATAAAGACAGTTTAACAGGCAAAGCAAAAACCATACACACAAGAGAGTAAAACAAGGAATTCATTCACCACTTCCCATCAGCAGACAGGTGTTCAGACATCTCCAGGAAAGCAAGGGCCAATCACACGTAACGGTTTCTTGGAAATGAGAGCATTCTCATTTTTTCCCTAACCCAAAGTCCGCTTTCAAAAAATCTAGAGCTAGACATGTTTACTACCAGTTCTTCCTCTTCAGAAAAAGAAATGGATCAAAAATAGACATTGTAATTAAAGCTGTGGTGTTTTTTGGGAGGTTTGTTTTGTGTTTTGAAGTAACAGCAGATTTTGGAAATACCCAAACTATCTGTAGGAATGGACGATTTCTAGTTTCAAGATCTATTATAATTGCAAGACAGTTTTGACTTGCACAGCATCCAAATATATTTAGTAAGTTTGCAATGCAAAATTTACCAAAATTTAGAAGACATTGCTGACTTTATTTAGTTAACCCACCTACAATTACTTCAATTAAAAACAAACAGTTCCCTTGATTTAACTTCTCCACTTAACAGCACTGCATATAAGCCAGGTCATTGCTTTCCCAGTCTGATATCTCAACCCAAACTTATATAAGAGATACTTTAAAAGCTGTAAACGCTTATTTGAAAAAGTCAAAATTACAAACAGCTTCTGGGAACTTGAAGCTTTTTTTCCAATAAAAAAAAAAAAAAAGTTCAGTGATTGCATTTCAAGTTGAAAACGCCGTTTTAAGTGTAATCAACCTACAGAAATTACCTTGAACAAATTTGACACAACGACTGAAGAGAAACTGCAGGCATGTAGCTTAAGGCAGCGTTGTAACAGAGCAGAAGGAATGTCAGCACTTCAAACCTGGGATTTACAAGAAACATTACATTACCAATTTTAGTTTTGAAAAGAAAACAAGTTTACACAGAAATTTGCAAAAGTCACTTGAACAGATTTGGTGTTTATTTTAATAAAATTGACAACAGATTAATTTGGTTCTGTAAGCTTTCCCTCTTCATGTAGTAGTATATGCTGCTAGTTTTTCTGTCATCTATATTCATAAGTGCTTAAAAAAACCCACACCACAAAACATACACCTATCCACCCTCAGTCTATAACTGTATGAAAAATTATAAGAACTTAAGATTCATTAGTGATTCTCAAGCAAAATCCCATTATACAATTTCACCTGTTCTGTGCTGTTAACATCTCCCTCTGAGGATGAGGTCCACTGTATACAACCCTGGACAAACCATGCTGTGATAAAGCTCCTTCAGTGAGAGCCATGGAACCAATGCTGGAAGGCTAAAGGAAAAAGGGTCATTCAAAACATGTCCACCTGAAGTCTTGCTACAATGCCAGTGAAAATAGACAACGATCAGCATCACCATATTTGTACAACAGGCATTTGTACGATTTTCAACAGGCTTAAGGTTATCTGACTGCTTAACTGTCTTAGATTTGAGAAGTTATTTTACACTAGATAAGATATATGGCTTCAGAATAGAAGAAAAAAACATAGTTTGTGCATGGATATTACGGAGTTATGACTATTCAGTCTTGAAGAGGCGTCAGAGACCAGTCAGTAGTACTCAGAAGACTGAGAAATATGCTGCTATGTCATCATGTCACAAATTGAAACTACTTTTCACTTTTATTCTTAACAAACAGGCCCACAAAGTATACTGCCTTTCTCAATCAGTAACATTATGTTGTAGATGTCACTTACTTCATGATAGACTGAAGGTTTGGACAAAGACGGAATCGTGAAACTCAGCACTTTGCTGTGTCCCTCTTTGTCAACTATCTCCTGAAAAAGGTAGATGATACCGATGGTTACACTGTACTACAGAAACCTGACATTTAAAAATGTTAAATGCTGGATGGGGCTGAATGGATAAAGAAAGCCAACAAATTGTTATAGGGACAGTTAGGGACATTGTAACAATCTGAGCTACAAGCTAGAAATTATATCTGTATTTGTTTTCTATCACAGTCCATTTGTTTTGTTTCTGAAAACTATTCAAATTACTTTGCAAAGGGCACACGCATTTGCATACATAGTCCACCTTAGAAACGCTAACTGGAAATCTCAATACATTTAAACAGTGTTATCTTTTTTTAATTATACACTATTTGCTAATTGTGAAGGTTAGTGTTCAATAATTCTCATCTGAAAACTATCTACCCATCAAGTAATGACTCTACAAGTAATTTGTCTTGGAAATATTACAGCTCTGGAACGACTGCAGGCTCATATGGTTTGACAGTAGCAGACAACATAGTATTTGCAAAAGCCCAAGTCTGATACTTCCATACTCAGAGGCAGTTAGAAGCAGCACAGATGCAAAGCTTTAGGGAAGCTACTTCCCTGCAAGATGCTGCCACCACCACAGTATGTTGGCAGACTTCTCACTCCTCTAAGTTAGTGGAAGACTACTGGGTAAGGCAAAAAAACGTGTGCCTACATATCACAGAAGACCGCTGAAGTACTTCAAATAAAAGACTTCAGAAGTTCCAAAGCAGACCTGACCAATAACCAATACCACAAGTACTTTTTTTTTCCTCCCTTAAATTTCAGCAGTAGTATCCAAAGGTAGAGATCAGAGAGCAGAGCTTCAGTGTCTCCTAATACCCACGCCTTGGAAGGCTGAAGGACTAACTTCACATAGTAATTATTAAAACTCATGTCTTAAAGTAGAATATGAAATCCTAAAGGAAGACAGAAGTATCAAAAAGGCATACAGAGCTGTTCTGTCTGAAGTTACACAGCTCCTCCACTCTCCATATCAAACCACTGATACCTTAATTTTCAATATTGCTCATGCTCCAAGTGGAAAAAGGTCTCCTCAATATATGGGAGAGTAGGAAAGAGAAACTAGCTACATCCAAACCTTTCAAATCTAAAAATGTCAGTATTTTGCCTTCTGCCTTCAATATTTGTCTTCTGTCACTGAAGAATAGCCATGAACAGGTTGAAAGCTTATGGGTAAAAATCAGGGACCACGGCAACTGTGTCTACTACAGGCCACCCGATCAAGGGGAGCCTATTGATGAAGCCTTCTTACTCCAGCTACAGGAAGCATCGCACTTGCAGGCTCTCATCCTGCTCGGGGACTTCAACCACCCGGACATCTGCTGGCAAAGTAGCTCGACAAGCTGTAGGCAATCCAGGAGACTCCTGGAATGCATGGAGGATAACTTCCTGTGCCCGGTAATAGACAGCCCTACCAGAGGGAATGCCACACTGGACCTGCTGGTCACCAACGCAAATGGGGTACTCGACTTCTTTGCCTCAGTCTTCACTGGTGACCTCTCTTCCCACACCTCTCAAGTGGATGGACTGCAAGATGGGGACGGGAGGCGCACAGTCCCTCCCACTGTAAGAGAAGATCAGGTTTGTGACCACCTGAGGAACCTGAACATGCATAAGTCTATGGGACCTGACGAGATCCATCCCAAAGTACTAAGGGAATTGGCTGATGTAGTTGCCAAGCCACTCTCCATATTTGAGAAGTCATGGCAGTCAGGTGAAGTCCCTGG